AACATAAAACTGGCAGGCGAGTATGATCAATTCCCATCACACCAGGTTTTGTGATGCTAAGGCACTCATTAGAATTAAAATATAAGCAAATGTTGGAAACTACAGCACAATAAGTGGATTTTTGAGCAGTAGCTCTGTAAACATTTGGGAGGCCTACCAGAATAATTTCCATCTGTTATGTATTGAATTACAATATCTTAACGTCCACAATATTTAAGAGGAATAACATCTAAAAGGAATAATTAAACCCACCAGTGCTCCACAGTACGGTGCTATGTGTGCAGTGCCAACTATCCCAAACATTGACTCGCCAAATATTGCTATGGAGTATGGACCATTTGGAGAACAGAAGGACTAGAACTCAATATGCAAGACATGTTGACAGCAAATAAATCTATCTTTTTTTTCTGACATTTTTACGTATGTAGATATGTTTGTTATTTGTTCTCTAAAATATAAAATGAAGAGGAAGCCAATAATCTGTCTGCTCACTATAGAAGGTAAAAAACATTTTAAAAGAACAGTTGGTTTAAAGATGTTAACTACTTGGTTAAAGGGAAACTAAAGTATTTCTATATTTTGATTTTTATAATTTAAGAATAAGATACACAATATGCGTGAAAATTATCAGGCTAATTAAAGTACTATCATTGTATGTCAGTGTTTAAAAACCCTGTGATTATCCATAATTTTGAATTATTCTTGTACAAGGCACAGTCATATTAGATTATTACAGGTCAGTGCAGGCTCTGCTTGCTGCTCAGTAATGCTACACAATGGTTGTGGCCAGGGGTGGACTGACAACGCATGGGGCCCCCGGGCAATAGGGGATCATGGGGCCCCTGTGTCCTTGTCCAAACTCAAAAAAGCCTATGAAAAAGGTACCAGGGGCATCTCATGGGGCCCCCTACTGACCCCGGGCCCTCGGTCAGTGCCCGAGTTTCCAAATGGTCAGTCCGCCCCGATTGTGGCTTCCTGTTCATCTCTCGTATAGTAAATCTGCCAAACAGGTCTGTTTGATTGACAGACCCTTTTTCATCAATATTTTTTATTGCTTTTTCATTGTCACTCTTTCCTTTATGGGGTAATCAGAAAGGTAGTATATTGCTCTGTGAAGTGGATATAAAAAGTCTACACACCCCTGTTAAAATGTCAGGTTTCTGTGATGTAAAAAAATGAGACAAAGATGGTCTTTTACCACGTGATCAGCTGTGTCCAATGACACAGCAGATCACAAAGTAAATACAGTTGCCGGTTATCGGCAGCACTTTCCTCACGATGTCACAACTGCCGATAACCGACAAATGTGTCTTGATTATCAGTGCTGAACAGCAGTGCCCAGCAATGTGGCCCAGCAGTGCCACCCAGCAGTGTCCTCTGTCAGTGCCTCCAGCCAGTGCCATCAGTCAGTGCCTTCAGTCAGTGCTGCCAGTCAGTGCCACCCATCTGTGCCCATCAGTACCACCTATCAGTGCCCATCATTGCTGCATATCAGTGCCTCCTTTATCAATGCCCACCAGTGCCACCTCATCAGTGCCCATCACTGTTGCCTATCAGTGCAGCCTCATCAATGCACATCAGTGAAGGAGAAAAATGACCTGTTTGATAAATTTTATAATAGAAAAAAAAACCTATTTAATTTTTTTTTCAATTTTTTGCTTTTATTTGTTTACAGTGCAACAATAAAAACCCCAGTGGCAATTAAATACCACCAAAAGAAAGCTCCATTTGTGTTAAAAGAAATTATAAAAATTGCATATGTGTACAGTGTTGCAAGACCGCGCAATTGTCATTCAAAGTGAAACAGTGCTGAAAGCTGAAAATTGGCCTGGGCAGGAAGGGGGTGAAAGTGTCCGGTAGGTTAATTTAACCTATAAATTATGCAACTCAATTGAAAAACAAACTGAGATATTTTAGGGGGGGAAGTAAACTAAAATAATGTGGTTGCATAAGTGTACACACCCTCTTATAAATGGGGATTTAGCTGTGTACAGAATTAAGCAATCACATTCACACTCATGTTAAATAGGAGTCAGTACACACCTGCCATCATTTAAAGTGCTTCTGATTAACCCCAAATAAAGTTCAACTGTTCTAGTAGGTCTTTCCTGACATTTTCTTAGTCACATCCTACAGCAAAAGCCATGGCCCGCAGAGAGCTTCCAAAGCATCAGAGGGATCTCTGTCAGGGATCGCCACGGCGCATAGGTCTGCGCATGCGCGGAGTGCCTAAACGCACTAACACGCGGGCGCTAGGACCGGGGCACCCACAGCAGCAGTTGCGGCCATGCATGCGCACTCGCGTGCATGGGCACGCGCTTGTCACCAATGACAGCGCAGGGCGCTCTATTTAAAGCTGGCTCCTGCGGTGCTCAAGTGCCGTATGGTCCTATTCCTGTTCCTAGTGCTGAGATTGCTTGTTGCTGAACCTGCCTGACCTGGATTATCGTGACCTTCTCCTGCCCTGATCCCTGGCTTGTCTGACCATTCTTCTGCCTTCTCCTGTTTGTCTGACCTCCTGCTTCTGAACCTGGCCTGTGACCTGTTTATCCTTTTGCCTGCCGCTCTGTACTGTCTGCCTCCGCTGTTATCTGACCCTGCCTGACTGACTACGTTACTACCTCTTCACATCTGGCTCTCACCTGCCACCTGCCATTGGCGGCTGCCTCTACCACAGCTGGTTGTACTCGGGGGTCGCAACCTGGTCTCAGGCTGCTTCAAGTCCATCCCCACCATCAGGGGCTCTGGTGCATCAGCAGACTGAGGCTTAGACTCCACGCCCTGAGGAATTACGGCCTGTGGTTCGCTAGAGGCTACCGCCAGTCGGCTCCTAACAATCTCATTGTTAAAAGGTATCAGTCAGGAGAAGGGTACAAAAGAATTTTCAAGGCATTAGATATACCATGGAACACAGTGAAGACAGTCATCATCAAGTGGGAAAAATATGGTGCAACAGTGACATTACCAAGAATTGGATGTCCCTCCAAAAATGATGTAAAGACGAGAAGAAAACTGGTCTGGGAGGCTGCCAAGAGGCCTACAGCAACATTAAAGGAGCTTCAGGAATATCTAGCAAGTACTGGCTGTGTGGTACATGTGACAACAATCTCCCGTATTCTTCATATGTCTGGACTATGGGGTAGAGTGGCAGGAAGGAAGCCTTTTCTTACGAATAAAAACAACCAAGCCCAGCTAAAGTTTGTAAAAACACATTTGAAGTCTCCCAAAAAGCATGTGGTAAAATGTGTTATGGTCTGATGAAACCAAGGTTGAACTTTTTGGCCATAATTGCAAAACATATGTGGCGCAAAAACAACACTGATCATCACCAAAAGAACATCATACCCACAGCAAAGCATGGTGGTGGCAGCATCATGCTTTGGGGCTGTTTTTCTTCAGCTGGAACTGGGGCCTTAATCAAGGTAGTCAAGGAATTATGAACAGTTCCAAATACCAGTCAATATTGGCACAAAACCTTCAGGCTTCTGATAGAAAGCTGAACATGAATAGGAACTTCATCTTTAACATGACAAGGACCCAAAGCATACATCCAAATCAACAAAAGAATGGCTTCACCAGAAGAAGATTAAAGTTTTAGAATGGCCCAGCCAGAGCCCAGACCTGAATCCGATCAAAAATCTGTTGGGTGATCTGAAGAGGGCTGTGCACAGGAGATGCCCTTGCAATCTAACAGATTTGGAGTGTTTTTGCATGGAAGAGTGGGCAAATATATAACTGCAGTACACCTCTCTCTATGTTAAGGACATGTGGAGAGAAAAATGTTCTGTTTAGTCTTCCTGTTCTATGCTGACGCAATGCTCCTTCATGGATACAGTATAGTGAATGAGTGCTGTCACCCTAAGACAGGAAGTGTGTCGCCTAGCATGATCACCAGGTAATAAAAAATGCAGCCACAGCATCTATAGACTAGCAAGAATCAATACATTAAATCATTGTTTGATCAATTACCAGCCAGTGATATGACACACCGGGGTTTATTTACTAAAGCTGGAGGGTGCAAAATCACTGCATTGCTCACCTCTGCAGAGAAACCAATCAGGTTCTAACCTCAGTTTGTACAACTATGCTTTGGCAGTAAACCGGGAAGCTGCTGGGTTTCTATGCAGAAGTGAGCCTGATTTTGCACTCTCCAGCTTTAATAAATATACCCCACCACGTTAGGAATAGCTGACTACTGACATAAGATAACAGCTAAAACACTTTCAAAGTGTGGAAAAGAGAAACCAAAATGTTGTTCTGTAATTCTGGGACAAACTAAATTTGTCTTGGAACTAATCAGCGCTTGAGTCACAACATGGCTACACAACTATTTTGCATTGTGAAAGTGTCGCTTTAAGTCTTCGCACCCAAATCTCCAAATGACCTTGGAAAAACATGTAGTAATAGGCAAATGGAGTTCTGCCATACCTCTAAGGGGGCCAGGGTTTCAAGGATTGCAAACACTTCATTTTTAAGGGTTATTTAACCTCTTTAACACCCACATCCTTGGCAGGAAATTAAAGAGCAGTGATTACTCTAGAAAGGTGATGTTTAAGAACAAGGGAACCAGAATTCAGTGTAACTGACAAAATGTATGCAGATAAAATGAGTAACATGCTTAGCAGTATGTATATAGTGAAATTAAAATATGTACACAAATATTTTCCGGCGTATAAGGCGACTGGGTGTATAAGACGACCCCCTAATTTTCCAGTTAAAACATAGGTTTTGGGCTATACTCGTCATATAAGACTACCCCCCTTCTGAGGCAACACCATTTAACCCCTAGCCTACAGGGCACTTATACCCACTTCCCCCCAGGCCAATTTTCAGCTTTCAGCGCTGTCACACTTTGAATGACAATTGCGCGGTCATGCAACACTGTACCCATATGAAATAGGTGGCACTGATGGGCACTGATGAGGAGGCACTGGTAGGTGGCACTGATGAGCATTGACAGGCATCACTGATAGGCACTGAAAGGCAGCACTGATACATGGCACTGATACATGGCACTGATAGGCGGCACTGACTGGCACTGTTAGGTGGCACTGATGCGCACTGATAGGCGGCACTGATGCGCACTGACTGGCACTAATAGGTGGCACTGATTGGCAGCACTGATAGGTGGTACTGACTAGCACTGATGGGTGACACTGAAAGGCAGCTCAGATGGGCACTGATATGTGGCATTGATGTGCACTGGTAGGCACTGATATGTGGCATTGATGTGGCACTGATAGCTGGCACTGCTGGGGCTACACTGATCATCAGGGCACACTGATCATCAGTGCCCTGATGATCAGTGTACATGTCCCCTCCGCGGCTCTCCTCTCGAGCTGTCAGCGTGACAGCTCGAGAGAAGAGAAATGCCGATAACTGGCATTTCCCTGTTTACATGTGATCAGCTGTGATTGGACACAGCTGATCACATGACCAAGCCGACATCTTCGGCTCTTTCCATGATCCGAGGGACACAGCGTATCGCCGCGCATGCGCGGAGAATGGGAGGACGTCATATGAGCCAATCACGGCAAGTGATGTATTCTATTAATGAATACAGAGCCTGCTCGGATTGGCTGTGTCAGAGAGGCGGGCTGATGATGTCACAACTTCAGCCAATCCGAGCAGGCTCTGTATTCATTAATAGAATACATCACTCGCCGTGATTGGCTCAGCGCGGTACACTGTATGTAGCTGAAGCTACCATACAGTATTACCGCACATCCAGCGTTCTATACCCGGCGTATAAGACGACCCCCAATTGTTGGGGTATGTTTTTAAGTAAAAAAAGTTCGTCTTATACGCTGGAAAATACGGTATATCAGTTAAATTCAAAGTCAAGAAATCACAACTGAATTAAATTATGCTATACACATATCTAGTAGTAATTATTTCTTTCTTAAAATGTAAAATATTATTAAATTTTAGTAATGGGGTTTACATATATTTCTAAATTTTAACTTAGCTTCAAGTCTTCCTAGGACATATCAGAATATCTTTTGTGATATGCATTAATACAAATAATCAAAGACACAATGAAGACTGTGGCAAAAAGAGAAAACTTAGGGTTAAGGAATTTTTGTGGGTTTTAATTTTTTTCCCTTTATTTTTTATTATGGGAGCTTAGATTTATTGGCACAATGTGGGTTTAGTTGTAGGAGGAAAGGGGAAATTTTTGTGGACTGGTGGAAATAGTGGATTGATAGCAGTGCATTCTTTTCCCAGGCTGGAAGGTACTGTGATATATTTGATTTTGATGGGCAGATGAACCTTTTAGTAACCACAGTAACCCTCAGTAACAATCCATGTCCTTGGGTTGTGGTATGTGTCCAGGATACTGACCCTACCATATACTCATCTTCCCTCAAACAGAAAAATTGGCCAACAGCAGCTAAAGACATACTTGCTGTCTGGCTGTTATCCCCCTATAATGAAGGCAGTTGTATATCTGTTCCATCGTTTTGTGCTTTTGTACTAATTCTGCATTGCCCTATAAGGTTGTACACCTGGCATCCTTATGGCTTCATTTCATTTTCTACATTATGAGTTTTAGGTCATAGCCCCCCTGCTGTTGTTTCTCTATGAATATTCCCATGTAAAGACCAACACATACAGTACAATATATACAGTACAAGTATTCATCAGGTAGTTTTTTGGTTTGTTTTAAAAAGAAAAACTTGCAGAAACAGAGTTTTCAAATTGTCATCTATAGTCCGGGTAACAGAATAACTGTAACTGCACACAGATAATGGATGACCTGGAAAGGTCACGAATAAATAAACCCTAAAAATTTTTTGCTATGGAGTCTTGTGTTTTATAGCAATGCTCCAGGTTTTATAAACTATACTACACCCCAAACTCAAAGGTGGACAGGACCAGAGTCTTGAATTATGGTAAGGAGATCTTGTAGTTGGAGCATGCAATACATATACAGGTGAAACTCAAAAAATGTGAATATCGTGCAAAAGTTCATTTATTTCAGTAATTCAACTTAGAAGGTGAAACTAATATATGAGATAGACTCATTACATGCAAAGCAAAATCATTCAAGCCGTGATTTGTCATAATTATTATTTATTATTATTATACAGTATTTATAAAGCGCCAACGGTTCGCTCAGCGCTGTACATTACAAAGGGGGACAGAACATGTGACAGAACAATACCAATACAATGCAAAACATGAGGGGATCGAGGGCCCTGCTCTTTCGAGCTTACAATCTAGGAGGGAGGGGATAGTGGTACAGGAGGAGATAGCTGTGGGGGATGGAGTGGTAGGTAGAGTGGAGGAGGTCGGCAGGTTAGCAGGGGGTGGGGTAGGCTTCCCTGAAGAGATGGGGTTTCAGGGTGCACCTAAAGGAGAGGAGAGTAGGTGATAATCTGATGGGTTGGGGCAGGGAGTTCCAGAGGATGGGCGACACCCTGGAGAAGTCCTGGAGGCGGGCATGGGAGGAGACCAGGGAACTAGAGAGAAGGAGGTCTTGTAAGAAGCGGAGTGTGCATGCTGGGCGGTACTTGGATATTAGGTCAGTGATGTAGTACGGGGCAGTATGGTGGACAGCTTTGTACGTCAGTGTTAGGATTTTGAATTTGATCCGTTGCACAATCGGAAGCCAGTGGAGAGATTGGCAGAGGGGGGGGGGGGTGGCAGAGATAGAGCGGTTGGAAAGGTGAATGAGTCTGGCAGCCGTATTCAAGATCGACTGAAGCGGGGATAGCCAGCGGTGAGGCAGGCCAGTGAGGAGGGAGTTGCAGTAGTCGAGTCGTGATATGATGAGGGAGTGGATGAGCTGTTTAGTGGTTTCTGGGGTTAGGAACGCGTGTATTTTGGCGATGTTGCGGAGGTGGAGTCTGCACGAGTTTGTTAAAGATTGGACTTGGGGCTGGAAGGATAGGTTGGAATCCAGAATGACACCAAGTACTTTAGCCTGTAGGGCGGGTTTGATGGTGGTGTTGTTGTCAGGGCAGGGCTGTGGAACGGACAGGTAGGCCTAGTGGCAGGGTAACGCACTGGCTGACGACAACCACCACCAACAGACCGGAAGTCCCTCAGGGCGCGGAGTCTAAGTCCCAGGCTGCCCTTCACCAGGGCCCCTGATGGTGGGGATGGACTTGACGCAGCCAGGAACCAGGTCGCGGCCCCCGAGACACCCCGGCTGCGGTAATGGCCGCCGCCAATGGCGTGTAGCTGGTGAGAAATGACAATAGCATAGTCAGGCAAGCCGGGTCGACAACAACGGGACAAAACGGTACAGAACAGTAGACAGAGAATAACAACGGGGCCGGGGCCGTACGGGCCGAATAACGAGGTCACGGGCCGGGTTCAGCAACGGAAGGTCAGATCGAAGGAAAACACAGAGAATGGTCTTAGTCACAAGCCGAGTCAAATACCAGAAGAGTTACGAGCGTATACACAGAGCTGTAGCAAGACAAAGACACAAGACACAAGTGCAAAGAGCATGTGCGGATCACCGGCTTATATGTACTCAGCCACACCCCTCTGGGGGATGGACCTCAGAGACCTGAAGGCATAAAGGATTCCCACCATGCTCAGCAAAAATCCAAGATGGATGCCAGCACATGGAGTAACATAACCTCTGGGAAAAGGTAGGACCTTGACAGTCGTTGGATGTGATGGAGAAGTCAATGGGGGATAGTGTCCGGGCTGGGGGGAAGACAAGAAACTCGGTTTTGGAGAGGTTCAGTTTAAGGAAGTGGAGCGACATCCAGTCTGATATGTCGCTCAGTAGGTGTGTGATTCAGGCGGAGACCGAGGGGGTGAGGTGGGGGGTTGAGAGATAGATTTGTGTGTCGTCGACATAGAGGTGGTAGTTGAAGCCGTGAGAGTGTATGAGTTGGCCAAGGGAGGAGGTGTAGATGGAGAAGAGAAGGGGCCCGAGGACAGAGCCTTGAGGAACCCCAACAGAGAGGGGGAGTGAGGGGGAGGTGGTAGCATTATAGGTAACGCTGAAAGAGCGTTGTGACAGGTAGGATGAGAGCCAGGAGAGAGCAGAATCTCTGAGGCCGAGGGAGTGTAGTTTTTTGAGGAGGAGGGGGTGGTCGACTGTGTCGAAGGCCGCAGAGAGGTCAAAGAGTAGGAGCACTGAATAGTGGCCATTAGCTTTGGCGGTTAGCAGGTCGTTGGAGAGTTTGAGTAAGGCAGTTTTGGTGGAGTGTAGGGGACGGAAGCCGGAATGTAGGGGATCGAGGAGGTTGTTGTCGTTGAGGTGAGAGCTTAGGTGGGTGTAGACTAGGCGCTCGAGGAGTTTAGATGTAAATGGGAGCAGGGAGATGGGTCTGAGGTTGTTCGGGTCATTGGGGTCCAGGGAGGGCTTTTTAAGTATGGGGGTGATGTGTGCATGTTTCCGAGGGGAGGGGAAAGTGCCAGAGAAGAGGGAGAGATTAAAGATGTGGGTGAGGGAGCGTAGGATGGAGGGGGAGGGAGGTCATAGGAGTTGTGAGGGGATAGGGTCGAGGGGGCAGGTGGTGAGGTGGGCATCAGAGAGGATCTTCCTCGATGGTAGTAAGGTCAAAGGTGCGGAGTGTTGGGGAGGCTTCAGTATGAGGAATGTAGGGTGGGGTGGAAGTGGAGGTCAGAGCAGTGGTGGGGCCGTGGGAGAGGGGTGATGAGGGGGGGGTGAGTGAGTGAGGGGGAACGAGGTTGGAGGGAGTTTGAGCATCGACGAAGTCCCTGCGGGTTATGTCGAGGGAGAGGGGGGATGAGGGGGTAGCTGTGTGAGAGGGGACGGGTTGAGAGGGAGTGTGAGTTGCGGCGATGTCCTTGCGAATTGTGTCAATCTTGTTTTTGAAGTGATTGGCAATCTCAAGGGCAGTGAGTGAGGTGCTAGGTGGAGGTGGAGGTGGGGGTGGCTAGAGTAGAGAGTTGAAGGTGGAGAAGAGTGAGCGAGGATTGGAGGAGAGGGCCTTGATGAGGGTCAGGAAGTAGGCTTGTTTGGCTGCGTGGAGGGAGGAGGTGTAGGTGTGGAAGGCAGATTTGTAGCGGCTGAAGGCTTGTTGGGATTTGGTTTTGCGCCATAGTCGCTCCAGGGCACGACTGTGTCGTTTGAGGGTTTTGGTGTGATCAGTCTGCCAGGGCTGGAGCGGTCGGGGTCTGATGTTGCGTGTGGTTAAAGGCGCTAGTGAGTCAAGGGCTGTTGACAGCGTGTTGTCGTAGGCAGTCATAGCCAAGTCGGGGCAAGACACGGGGAGGATGCTGTCGTGGAGTTGATCAGCTGCAGAGTGGAGGGGGGCAGGGTTAAGGTTGTGGAGGTTACGGCTGGTAGTAGTGTGACCTTTGGAGGGGTAGGCGTTGGAGGACGAGGAAATAGAGAAGGTAATCAGGTTGTGGTCAGAGAGACGGAAGGGGGTGTTAGTGAGGTTGTGGGGAGCGCAGCGGTTGGAGAAGACGAGATCAAGGATAGTACCGTTGGAGTGGGTGGTGGATTGTATGCACTGTGCAAGTGCAAAGGTGGAGG